TTACTGACTTCACACGCCTAGCGCAGAGGATAGTATGAATTTACCGAAAGACCGCCTCACAGCACGATTGCTCGTGGTACGAGCTCTCGATGTTTTTAGTCTGTCTTTTCCCCTTTGGCCTTCCTGGTATGATTTTACCTTGTGGAACGAAGTTCCGTGAGATCATTGCAGCTCTCAAGCCCGACCACCACGAAGGTGGCAGCTCTAGGCTGTTTCAATTCCAAGCGGCAGTAGGATTAGGAGTCAAACTATTGTGCCTGTGCCCTCGGGTTAGGTGGGCCCCACACAGCTATGTTGGTCATACTTTTTAATCATTGGCTCGCAACAAAGTCCCTGGAACCTTCTCTACCAGTAGTCATAATCTTTTCTTGCTGGTTTGGCTTGAGTGCTGAGCTCGAGATAGCTCAGTGCTTAAGGTGCCAGCTCGCCTACCGAACTTAACCTCTTCATCTTGACTGCTCTTGTCTGAACCTGGGAAACCTTAGAGCATCTTACCGCACATGCTTTCTTCGAGGGGGATGGCAGGTATTCACCGAAATTGTGTTAAAGCCGAACGGGCAGTGATGGCCCAAGTGTTTAGAGCGCGAATTTACTGACCTGAAGGTCCGTGGTTCGAGCCCGACCTCTGCATCTCGACTTTCCTTGTTTAGGCTTGGGCAACCTGGCAGTATTCCACCCTCCTTGCAATCTTCGGGTGGCATGGCAGTTAGGCACCAAAAAGGTGCTACAACTGAACGTTATTTTTAAAGCCGAACGATTGGTGTTTAGTATTTTAGTGCTGCAGTGCTCGCATGGTTGCACTGTCTAGAACTCAGCTTCACCATGTATAACCCTGCCAAGAAAATCAACTGAGGGCAGCCGTACAATCAAAACCGATCCCTCAGACTACGAATAACCGTACGGTTATAAGAGTGTTTTGTTTTTTCACAGCGGCAAGGTGTTTTCTCCAGGCGATGAACATGTCCATTTTATGGAAGTAGTGACGCTGCTTTCCCGCGAGGAGGTACGGATTATATTAAGTTGGTCCCAAAAACCGCGCACTTCGATCACCCAGCGGTTGATCGCTGCCGCCAGTGAGCTATCCAATGCAGTTGGAAAACAACCTTACCAGGTACTCGGTGCGGCTCCAGGCACGTCTGCTGTGCGCAGTGGCATCAAGAGTGAGACCCGTATGCCTTACTTCCCGCACGTTCGTGCTAGGTCAGCCTCTTAAAAACATGTGAATGAAGTTGGTAAGTCATCAGCCCAGGGTAACTTCATTCAAGAAAACCCTTCTACTTGCTAGCTTACGGGTAAGACTTTTTAGTCACAGGCTAGGGGCGGACCCGCGGATGAAGCCTTCTCTCCTCGCTTTGTGGGCCAGGCTTTTGATTCAAAGGTCCAAGGTAGGATGCCTTAAATGACTCCCCGGGAAACCCCGGACTATCACTCACCCTTGCTTCCTGTCTACCGGCTTGTAATGCCACATGTCGACCGATTTGGCGTGAAGGTGTCTTCGTTTGTTTGCTCAGACACTACCAGGGGGTCCAAACTTAAACAGGAGGGCGTTTAGGGTCTTCACTCAAATCCTTCGGTTGACTGCAAGGCAGCGGTGGTTGGTGTACGACTGCAACAGCAGTCTATCTTTCGGGAAGCACTTTACCACATTATTTTCAACCCCTAATCTCAAGGATCAGAAGTCCTGGTACTGGCTTACTGCAAGCATTCTGAGACGCTTATAATTCCAAGGACTCAGTTGCTGAAACGAGTAACAGTACGAATGCCACTGACGTTGACCAGCCGCCATTCCTTGCAATGTCCTCAGCCAGGCTGGACGGGGTTCACGGGGACCATATCCTGGAAGGCAGATCGCACCAACAACACCTAAGCTCTTCGTAATCTCTTTCAAACCTTTCTACGAAGAGGTACAACCAAACAATCCAAGTTAACAATGTAATTCACCAGGGGATAATTTGAAGCAAGGTCGGCACATAGCTTCAAGAACGATTAAGTTAAGTGTTAGTTAAAGAAGGCTAAAAACTGAAAAGCGTAAAGGCAGTTAAAGAAACAGCCGACTTGTGGCAGTAGGGTTCCGTTCAGTTTTTACTTCGTGAACACCGCGACCTAGTCGACCGCGTTGTCTTACCGCCTTGGCTTTTTTCAAGGAATGTTCCATTATCTTTATCATCGCACTTGAGCTGTTTGGGGCTTCGCGGTGAATATTCTCCTGAGTACCTCGCAAAAAATAGTGCTTGCCAAGATTGCCTATTATCACTTTTTTATAGCCTGTTTCGGGATGAGATCTGAACGTATACTGTGCACATGGTATCTCCCAATATGTCCCACACCCATACATGAGCATGGCTCAAATGCCTGTCAGAGTATAAGAATGTAGTGGATGTTAATAAAATTAACATACCGTCAACACAACTTATGGAATATTCCGAAAATCTAATGACTTTGTCTATATACGGCTGAAAAATGTTCCGTTGCCCAAAAACAGCACGTACAAGCGCTGTTGCAGACGCACCAAATGAACACCTAGGAAATGACTGATTAGCGCCACTAACATTTGTCCACTTCCGTCCGCTTCCCATAACTGCTCCCCTCAAATTTACCTTAGTTGACCCCCCTATCGTGCACTGTGCGAGGATTTTTTGGAAGGGTTTATTGCACTTCTGTAAATAAGATGCAGGCATATTATTTCAGCTTTGAATATGCACTGCTTGCAATGAACTCAAGAGGATTCTGCCACTGGTGCTGCTGGTCGATTGGCATTTGTGTAGCAGTATGGCATGTGTATTTGTAAAGCATACGCAACAAAAATCAGCTGTAAACCACGCACAAGAATTACATGGTTCGAGCTGTCGAAGTTTTGCTCCACGATGGATGATGGATTGGGGGATGGAGGTAGCAGCCAAATACACTTATTTCGGCTCCGTAATGATGATGTTGAGTCGTTTATTAAAGTCCACAGTTTCGGCACAGGAGGACGATTCAACAAGTGACAGCGTCTGTCAGCGTCACTAATACATGTAATTCGTCCATGTTCCTTGTTCAAGTAAAGAGCGATAGCCAGAGCTGGGATATCATTGATTAAAATCTTTAATCGGTCATCACAGAACCGTTTATTTACCAAAACTGTTTAATAATCCGCACAAATCGGTTTACCGACCGCTAGTACACTAATAAACGATATCACTGTTTTAACGTGTTTGCGAATTGCACAGTCTGAAGAACCCTCTTCCTCTTCTCCGGCCGGGAGCGGCATAACCAATGAGGCGAACAGCCTGTGATTTAGAAAAGAGAGCGTGGACACGAGCGCGGAACATTTTAATGTAGGGGACTGAATGGACCTGAGTTTAGGTTGTGGTAATATGTATTTTTGCCTGAAGACGACCGTAGGTGGCTGAATGTCGATGTCACTGAATTCAATTCAGCGGTCTTGCTTACTACAAAGAGCGACCAAGTGCAAGGTCGGGACTGCTGTCCATCTTTCTCTACCCGGCGAGCTTGCACCACCTCTGGAGAAATGGTGGTGACCAACCATACTAGCGCCAAGCAGATGACGGTCGAGTGTGACACCTCGCGGTTTTTTCCAGAGCCACTTCACCGTCCTACCGGTGTAGTCGTTTCACGTGTGACAACATTCTGCGACTTATGTGTATTACACGTTCTAGGCTCCTTGTCCTGATGGTAGCATTATCAGTTTTATAAGGCATGGTTGCGCAAGAATGTACTTATCCCATTTTTCCACTAAAAATCTTTTGACCCTTGTGCCGCTGTGTAGAATTGTTGTTTCAATCAGCGGTGTTACTAATAGTGAAACACACTGACCGGTTTTTAATGTTTATTCCGGCTCCGCATTCCCGGAAGTAAAATTTGGAGTGGCCGTTTAGTCAGAAATAGATAAGAAAGGTTTTTTAAACATCTGTCGAATTCTGGAATATGTTTCCATCCAATCCCCTTGGCCAACTACGCACCCAATTCCTGAAATTTTGTTATCTTCCTTAGTCACACAAGATCCTTAATTTACTGACCATGTGTGGTGCTTCTGGACTCGACAGAACCATGGGATTACCTATTCTGGTGGGAAAGACCAGTCAAACTCATAAACCTAGGATAGAATCAGAGAGTATGAGTGACTCTCCCAACCGTTCTCTCACAAGTGGTGCACAATCCTTACTCATGACTGGTCAAGAAATCCAACCATGATACCAATTGCAAACAAAACTTAGTTGATACCTCTTCCTTGGGACTGAGGTATTACGTCGAACCTTAGAAGCAGATATTGCCTTCAGAACTCCCAAAGACATCACTGTATGCCTTTTCCCGATAGGATGCGTTTACAATGCATTTGTCTGGTCGGTACTGTACGGATGAGAAAGCAGATCTCTCCGTACTGAGGCAAGTCATTGACTTTCGGCTGCTATGCGGATAGCTATTGTGATTTATATCCCCAATTCTATTGTTAGAGTACAGCTAACTGCTTTTGTTAAGCGTCATCTCTAGGCTTCCTGCTATCTCATTTGTGGGTCATTGTTCCGCTCCATGGATCTTCAAGATGAGCCACGGTTCATGTTACCGAAGCTCTGCACATTTGTATCGTTTTGCCGTTTTATTTGTTGTTGACATTTTCCAGTTGGGTCTCCGACAGAAAATTATAGCTTCCTTGTGTTCCGAGTGCATAACACAATGTTCAACTTGTGCAAGGCTGGGAATCAACACTGTTTCCGGAGCTATTCTCAGAAAATATCCTTGGTTTTTGTTTCTTCGCAAGGATGTTTCGATTTTCCGGCATAATGAGGTTCGTAGCACCAATTACTGAACAGAAAAAAAACATAGCTGATTGCTTCTGTTAGTTTCAAGAAATGTAAGTTGTTCTCGAAGCCGGTGGGCTAATTTTCCACAGACTGTCAATTTTGTGTGCCTGACCCACGTCATTTTTTTCGGACTGTGTCCAATAGGCGTTTGGATGTGTTGTGTCTTCAAACCGTCTCTGTGTTTTGGGACCATTTCAGGCGGTTGGTTGTTCGTCAGCTCCGATGTCGGCGGATACTAGTGCCCGCGTGTATTATTTCCCTGATCATCTGTACATTTGCCGTTTATCAGAATCTTTGGTCTTTGGAGCAGGTACGTGTTTTTTTTGCGTGCATACGGCGTTAAAATTTTACCCACAAATGCATCGTTTTCATTGTACCGCAGTGAAGCATCGGTGTTGAACACTGATGTCATGCTGTCGACGACGATCGTTTTCATTATTGACCGCAGCATTGGCCTTAGAACACTGGAGCTTAATTGCACGTAAGCAGTGTCAGGTTGTTAAGGCGAAAACCTGTGGGGAAGAGAAGAATGAAGATGACAAGAGAAAGGAGCCGAATGATGGCTCACAATAGACACCCCAGATGCATGTACCTTCGAACACTACCCTGGTAATCTTGATAGAAACTGACAGCACGGACTTTTTTGGCTAGCGGCAATATCGCCGGCTTATTACAGACAAGATCACCTGACCCTGAAGTTGCCGTGAAACCAACGCTTCTCCTGGAAAGCGATAATCCTGTGCTTGGACATGAGCGAACCACCGCCGGATTGGTTTGCTGTTAAGACTATTGAGAAATTCAACCGTACTAGTTGGGGCGAGCTACACGATTATCCAGTTCAGTTGGATCGACGGAGGAATACAGTAACGCTAGTTATCGTGTTATTTAGTTGGTTTCATAAGTGTGGAAGGATTAATTTATCCTCCGCAGTGGGTTTCATGTGTTTCTTTGTGTAGGTGGCATGGCAGCAAGGCACCAAAAAGGTGTTACAGCCGAGCGATTTTTTTTATCAGTCCTAGTGAGGTTAGTTCTCTTTTACTCTGGACGAAAGTTGTACCCAAACCTCATTAGTGTTGTCAGGAAAATTGGAACTTCTTTTAGCCTTTTCAGCCATTTTTTTATTCACATACAATCAACAAACCACAGACCGCTTCAGCTGATGTGTGGATGATGTAAGCCGTCGCCAAATGACAGCTGGACGCCAATAGTGCGAAGTTTGGGGATCATCGACCAGTAAAAAAGTCACGCGGGCTGGTTGTCTTTCACTGCGGCCCTCCAGCTGGCCAGTAGCACTACCGGAATATTCACGGTGTCATCATCATCATCGACAGTATGACATCAATATTCAACACCGATGCTTCACCGCCGTAATATTTACGGTGTGACCATGACGCATTATGTGGTTGAAGCATTAGCTTTCAACACAAGTTTAATGACGTAATGTGTGAACTTGTATTGCTGTTGGTGCGGACAATGGCTTTTATGCGGATCCATCAGCTTATCCAACTGGTACAATTCCAGTCCTTTACAATCGTGCATTTTTTCGTTCATTGATACACACTTTACAGAAAACTGTTTGTCTTTCAGTATCACGGCTTCACCTCACACATGCCGTACTCGGCTTACCGAAATTCTGCCAGCCTCTTACCACCTGAATGAATGAATACAGGTTCAAAGTCGAAATAGACTTTTGATTCACCGCTTGAATCAATTCACTGATGATAGTATTTATACCGATCTCATCACAAGAACACTGAATGCGGTATAACAGGCTTATCAGCACAGTGTTCCTCACTATAGTCATGGAAAAACGAACACATGTGCTTTGATACTATTGTTGATACTACAATTCGATGATTACGTTAATTGGAGTGAGTTTCGGAGCTTCTCGTTAGAACTGATATGGAGCACATATTTATGTGAATGAAGGCACCATACGTGATGTGAGAACGGCGCGAAATAAAGAATGTACATCTGTTTATTGAAGACGCGATGTCAGTAGCAAGGACCATGAAGGCGATTTCTACGCGTAGTACAATTAGCTACTTGGAAATGAGCAACCGGCATGGTGAATGTGATACTAAGGCTACCTCGCAGAGCACGGGTAGCGTCCGTAGTTATTTTTAGACAGATATGATCCACGAAGCAGCGTGACGAGCAATGGAGCTTGCGATTTTCCGACAGTATTTAACTGTTCTAGACTACGAACCCCCTAGATAGATATCAGTTCTCCGGTTACCTGGTCTACTCTTCGTTTGCACGTTAGCCGATGTGCGTTAGTGGGCGAAGCAGATATCGCAGTACTGTGACCGTTATCACTAGACCGTGTCGAAAAAACCCGTGTTTCGTTTGGAGATGCCAACAACAAACTCACGAAGACCGTTTGGTTTTTACGGCCACTTGAACCTCGAAAGTTTAGGACCGAAGAAAGACAGAACTGACTTTTCGGTATTTCATCAGTTGCAGACAAAAGTTAAGCAGACTGTTATCACAATTAGTCCGAATAGATTGAATTACTCAGTAGAGTTTTGTAGTTGACCACAGATTTGGTGTTATCAATGACTATATATTATATTACAACGGGACCATTTTTCAGCTGTTCCTTTTACTACCAATTTTTCCTGACATCAACCCATTAGACCTTTACATCATCCTTCTCTTTCTGTCAGTCGTCTTTGTACCGGCCATCCCTATAACATGCGTGTGTAGGTGTTCACGGCTTTTGCAACTGATCAACCGTTCAGTTCTAAAAATGAGCGTCTGAGTTGCTACTTTGCTCTTTTTTGGAATGCGCACTAGAGACGCTAGAGAAAAAATTAGTCCCTAAGCCTATTCAAAAAGTGTTTGTCTTGATCACGTACCTTATGCGTTCGGGTTCATTTCGACTGGTGCTGGTTCGTCTTGAAGTAGTATCATGAATCTTGGCATAATTCGGCACAACATTACGTGTCGTATCACGAACGAGCGCTACCGCCAGGATTCATTTGAGCCTCATCGACACCAGTTTACTTTGCAAACCAGTGCATTATGTCACTCATGGTTGTTTCATATCCTTTTTGCCTTCTCTTCCTGTGTGTTTCACATTACATGTTCATGAATTTTATTACACCTGTGCTTCTGTATACCGCCAGCAACGGTCGCACCAGCAGGATGAACCCAGTATCATTAACCTCGGTTGGAAGCGTTGAAGGCAAGACGAAGATGTTGTTCTTGGAACTTTGTTTCGAAAAGAGTAACCTATACACGGATGAGGTTTGAGTACCTTCACTGGGATGATCGTTGGTGTTCAGAAGCCCCTGTTCATGTTTATGTCCTATCTTTATAGTATGTTGTATCAGGATAACACCATATGGTGTTGCTGTGAAAAGCGTGACGTTGATACTGCATTTCCTGAATCCAGTTACCCTTATAGATTTCATGAGGATGGAAAGAAGCATTATAACAGGATAGATTTAATCCTGTCAGATGTTTACATATATTAAAGATCAAGGTTGTGGCTAGATAACGGGCATATCTCTATACAGAATTATTGTTACGTATGAAACCTGTGGACGTGATTCAAAGCTGAACTTACCAAGGCAAGCTGAGGCAGGTCACAGATCCGGTTATCTACACAAATAGGGCTTTCGGTGCCGAATTGCATCCACTTCCCTGAGCTGTTTTCCTTTCTGAGTTCACGAGTTCACGGTTTCCTGTATGCTTTTGTCTTCGTGTAACAAACCCTTCTACTGCTACGACTAGTGAACATTACTTCACCATGCCGCTAACGGTGTTTTCCTGATTCCAAATGCAGACCGACACATCAGTAAATCGGCTAACAAATAGTCAGAACCCAACAGTCCCTTTGGAGCCTGTCGAACACCTGACAATAAATCTGCAGCATCCACAGGGACGAGCTGATGGTCTCGGTGAACAAGCTCGTAGACAATTAGTGCCACCAAAACATCCATTAGAACAGGAAATTGACAGGATCCCGACACTCCGGGTTCGCGAAAAGGTGGTTCTCGGATCTACTGGCGAACGAAATCCACCAGACGCTAACAAAGATCTTCAGGTTGAACAGCCTGGGGATGATCAAGCTGGGAAGATGAAAGTTGTTGAAACTATCCCTCGCGGTGGCGTTGGACAACCGCAGATCGAACCTTCGCAGCCTAGTCGTGGTACTCCTATCACAAATGAGGAACTCAGAGGTGGCGAACCGAGAAATGCTACTCTTGTGGCCATACGCAACCAGCTGCGTGAAGTAAGCCCGTATCCGAAGTCGTTAGGTTTGATGTAGTGTCTCATGTTTTTTAAGAGTGATAATGATGAATTCTTTCATTTTAAAGGATACGAAAGTTCAGTCTTCGATGACCATAGCTTCACATAAATTTTCCATTCGTTTACTTCTGCTGTCAAGTGCGATTTATAATTCTACCTTCTAGCGCAATAATGGGTAATTTTGCTAGTTCGTTAATAACGCACTGATGATGTCACCTCGACTGATGATGAAACGTTTGCGATCCAATTGCCCAGCTCAGCGAACAAGCTAACGACTACCTACGCTACCTGGACTACTAACATAGGTTTGTTCAGTCATTGTGACACTACGTAAATTGGAGGGTTATAAAGAGGCATTCAAGTGAATTTCAACTCAATCTCCCGTCAAATAACTGACATTTAGACAGCATATGTTAGATTTGCTGTTCAAGGAGAATGTGAGGTCTATGGAAACTCAGAGATCAAGTATACCTAGTCAGCCTCAAGAAGAGTAGAACAGCAGTGAACTGTCCAGCTCTTTGATCTACTGTGTGGGTGAGATATTATGAAGTAAGCTAATTCGGTATCTTCTAACTGAAGCAGGAGGTTGCCTTTGTGCAGCGGATTTAGTTAAGTACTACCTACGAGGGATGCAGGTGAATATCAGCCTAATCTCCCATGAACACCATGTTTATTTGCAATTGAGTGTCCACCGCCACATAGACTTGTTTGTGCCTTTCTGTTAGTCTGCGATGCAGGGCGCGAGCCAACAGCCTTTTAGTCTGAAATTAACAAAAACGACTGATCGTATTTACACAGAATCTTTTGGCCTATAATATTTGTTTACCTAGAACCATCCTAACCTGATGAGCAAACTCTGTCAAGTGTTCCTGTCACACTTAGGTGTGGATCTCACCGTAGCTAACCAATAAAGTAATCTAATTGTTCGTGAATAATTAAATAGCATGTCCTGACTACCCAGTGGTTTGCACAGAAGACCTGACAGTCTGGCCGGATATTTATAGTGAAAGTCTGACATTTTCTCCCAAAAATGATAACTTCTTGGTGTTCTAGAATTGAACTTACAGGGCACGCTTCCACATGGGCACCAGAATCCTCGCCAGCCACCCTGACCTTCTCTGAGGCTACTGGTTGCATGATCGTTCGGTTCTGTTTTGCTTGCCTAAAGGTAATTGTCCTGAACAATATGGTTATAACACGAGAGATATTCGATCCAGTTATCACATGTGACGAAACGGATTGAAAATTGAATCATACAGTAATGTCCTTGCGACCTTTCGGCACATGAATGCAATTCCACTCCGGTAAAGCATGAGGGCTGAGTTTCCGCATCATGTTAGCTGATCTCAAGCGGCAGCAGCTTGTGCTTTTCGAGGAGTAAGGGGTCACCACTGCTGATCAAGTTTTGACTGATCGTTTGGTTACTGAGTTTGGTCCATTTTATGTGATCGTACTTGTTAACTCAACAGCGCATACTTATTTGACCACTCGAAATTCTCTGTTTGCTTGGGAAAGATTTATGTATGCAAGTAGTCACACAAGTAGACAATGTTTCAGAGGAGCTATCATCATGAGCAAAGAAGGAATTTCACGTTTTCTGAGAGATCGACCATAGTTCGTGATTAAGGTGAATGCTGTTGTAACTGGGGAGTTTCCCTCTTTATAGCGCGGATGGCAGTCTGTCATTGGTGATCAGTCAGGCCACTAAATTAGTGTACTTCATCTCATCGTCGAACCTGAGCGTGCCGCTGTTTGTGGAACGTTTAAATACGACGATGTATCAAGTAACCACCAAGCTTTATGGGTTTTTTGGGTGTCGTTCGGTCGCTTCTTCCACCACCACTCGATAAATTTTCTGTTACTTTTTGTGAATAGTCCCTATTTTACCTAATCTGATTGTTTGTAGCAGAATACGTGTTGGTTCCCACGCCAGTTTGCCAGGGTTCCACATGGATGTTTTCTGATAGTGCGAAATATGTGTACCTCACTTGACTTGGCTAGGGCTGTCTTATAAGGGAGCATGATATTCAGGATTTTAGAGTGTGCGCATCTAGATCAAAGAAATCTCTGTGGTCTTGATTTCCTACGCGACACAGTATGGAAGTGCTTTGACTTAAACTCCAGCAGACAACGCGTCTTATTGCCCGATGATGGATTACGCCATTAGCACGTCTCATCTTGTTTGTTTTAGTTTCTTGTGGATTTTAAAAGAACGGGTTTTGCCAACTTGTTGTTCAGACCAAACTCGGTTGCACTTGATGTATTTGCATGATGTTGGCAGGACATTTCAACTTGTTACATTCTATGCAACGGTAAACGCACGAAAGATCCTATTATTCGCCAGAATCGATTGGATGTGCACCTCACCCCAAACCCGGGATAAATGTGTGTGTGACGTATACGTCCCCGTATGATGTTTTGATCTTTTTGCCACCGATATTCATAAATTTAGAAGAAACAACACGCCTCTGTGTTAAATGTTTTCCACCCACAAGTTTGATCTCGTTTTTTCAATTAAATGAGTAGTTGTACATGCTGCCACTTGAGTCGGGTTCGAACTTGTTTAGCATATTAAAGCATGACGTTTTTGGTGAACCTTCTACAGTTTCATTAGTTGGTCTATCTTCAACCTTAGAGTGATGCGACTATTCTTGTGCCTTAACCACCCAGTGAACTATACTGGATGCCAACGGAGCGTCTACGGTCTCTGCTTCCAGGTTGGTCAGTGGACAAACATTCTGGCCCTCCAGTTTTAGGGTTGGGACATGAATGGTTCCACAAAAATAGACTTCCGTGTCAGTCGTAGTCCGATCAATATTGCCCTGTGGTCATTGTTTGAACGAATGACTTTGCTTCGGCATCCTACTTGTCTTCCTGTGTAGGTTGTGTCGTCCTTGCAGCATCCTTGCACATAACCGTGACATACACAAATAAAACCACCTTCATACCAAATATTCCGTCGCTTAGTGGCATCAGCCGGCTTGCCCTACTCGTTGTATTTGAGAAAGGTGAGCCAAGACACGTGACTGCTAACGCTTTCCATCCTCCTCGTATCCCCCTCTGTCCCACTTTGCAGTAACTCTGTGAACCCTAGCCGAAGGCACGTAGAAAAGTGATTCATTTCGTGCCACTGCTAATGCCTGCTACTTCGCATTCATTGTTCATACCTCGTCCTCTTTATGTTGCATCCATCAATCCTAGAACCTTCAGGTTGCAGACTTTTCGCACACTCGGTACTATTTTAAACTAACTTTTTATAAAGCTCGATTACGAGACCTTAGTAATGTAATTTAACTTACAACACCTTCGCTATTTGGTAGCTGTTGGCTACAAACCTTAGGCGATTATGCAGCTGAAGCAGTCGATTGTCTCGAGCGACGTTTCACAACTTATTCCATTTATGTCGTCAGAAATGACGAACAGTCGCGGAACTCGGTGGCTTCGGTCTGAGGACCCTTAACTTTTTATCGTTAGACCATCAGTGTACTTTAACAGCGTAACAGTTTGAAGGTAAAACAAAGAATCAGAGGGCACTTCCTGACGGTTGGAGAGTTGTTACCGGTTATCGGCTGTCGACGACAAGACACTGTTTTGAAGCTTGATTCTGAACAGAATAGAGTAGCGAAGGCCATAACAATGGGGGATCATCTCAAATGGGACATCAGTCTTCCAGATTAGGGTGACTTTGTGATTTTTAGACAAGTACTAAACATTACTGACGTACTTGCGTGCTCCTTGTGGAAAGGATACGGAAACTAGTTGCGATGGCCGTCTAACACGAGTAGACCAGTAAGGACTGTTGATGAGCTCGAATCCAGGAGAGATGACAGCGAATGGGGTCCGATCGAAGATTTGGATTTGGGCACGAAACACTGTTGGTGGACACATGAAGGCACCTGGGTGAATTGGGCCTGCCTACCTTGCTTGAGAATTCCGCTTAGGCTGGTGTTCAGTGCAATCTCATCTAGTACACGGTGATAGCCTAATCAATGGGTAACAACGTGTTTGGTACAATAAAACAGAGTGCTTCGTCTGCAAAAGCGTTGATCTGGGAATAAGCGATGGGTTGTCAAACGCTGTGTTCCGTTATTGGTGAATCTCATTTTCATCAAGTGTTATCTCCTAGACAACCATGCAGTCATGCCCCGCTGCTGAGTTTTGCGTTGTCAGTAATTTGAACGCGCATATTGTTGTCAGCTTGGTGCAATGACCTAGCAAGCCATGAGACAGGCTTTTTTTTGCATTTGCCAATTCCCCATTCCATTTCATCTGTTTTACACTCCGGTTTTGGGGTAGTGACAGCGGTCATTCTCTGAGGTACTCTCAGAGGTACACAAAGAAACAATACCCCTCCTATCGGTAGTATCACTCCCTGGAAGAGCGACTTACAATCTTTCGAAAGAACTATGGGGAAAGTTGAAACAGCTCATTCGTGGGCCTCCAGTAGATCTTCGTTCTCGACTCTCCATCTTACTTCATAATCCAGCAGCTCTTCCTCTCCAGTCGGTTGTTCTGATCAAGGTGTGATTACTTGTGTCCGTTCACTTCCATCCGTCTCACACCTCCTTCCCTTCCTATCTGTCTGTTAGTGTTCCTTTAACCGGCATGATATTCATCAGTTCTTCGCTTTTTATTCCTAGAAACTTCGTATTTCAAGTGGTGCTTCAGCTTCCGCTGACAACATTAGTGCTCTTCATGGGGACATGCTGCATTTTATCTCCTACTCTTAACCCGAAAGCCCTCCTCCCTTGAATTGTTTAATTTTCTCTCTCTGCATGACACGGAGAAATAGTTGGTCGACGATAATGAGTGCACTCCTTTCATCAGGTAGGTCAGATTCCCGAAGGTAAACCCAGAATGCCCGGAACCTACTGAGACCCTAAAACTCCACCAAAATCTCAATAGGGTAGTCGGCAAGCATGCTGGCTAGTCAATCATTCAATCAATTGATCAAAGCCGATGAGTGTTCAGGCACGCCACAGA